GTGGGTTGGAGGTGTCTTTTCACATCTCTTCATTTGAGTCCCACTTGATCTTTATGATTTTGTTAAAGTGAATGCACTTTGATTTTTTAGTGTGTGGTTGTTCTTTACATTGTTATAGTTATGGTATATATTGTTTCCCGGGCTCTGCTGACTTCACTGTGCATCAGTTCATATAGATCTTTCCATACTTCTGTATGTATCTCATACATCATTTCTTGTAGCACAGTAATATTCCACTACATTCATGTACCACAATTTTTTTTTCAGCCATTCTCAGATTTATTTTGTTTCCAATTCTTTGCTATCACAAAAAGTGCTGCTATAAATATTTTGGTGTATATAGGGACTTTCTTACAACATAGTTATTAGATGTGAAGATTTATTTCTCATTGACAATTTCTTCTTCATCTCCACTGATTTAGTGTGTGCAAAATATTTGAACTTATTTTAATTGAAGTTTTCTCTTATCTTCTAAGATCTCTATCATTTGGTTACGAACCCCCCCCCCCATAGCAGTGAAATGTACCTTCTTTTGTTCTCCCAGTTTATAACAATCATTTGACTTTTTATATTTAAGTTTCATCCATTTGGAGCTTATTTATGGTATGTGGTGTTGATCACCAAAGTAGATCAATCTACACAAACCTGACAAATGGCTTTTTACTTTCCCTGGTAGTTCTCATCAAATGAGGCATTTATTCCCTGGCAGTTGGTTGAATATGGACTGGTGTTTGATTACTTTAGGGTCTTCAGAAGCTAGCCTGTTCCACTGATTTACTTTTCTATTTTTGAATCAGTTCTATATAGTTTTAATGATTAATGTTTAATAAGCTAGTTTGTGAGTTGATACAAGAAAACCCTTTAATTCCTGTTTTTTCCCCCCATAATTTCTCTTGGCATTCTGGAACTTTTTTCCCTTTAAATAATTTTTTTTAAAATCTTGACTATTTCTACAAAATAGCTTCTTAGATGTTTGGTTTATATAGCATGAAATCTGTAATTAATTTAGCTGGTATACTCATTTTTATTGTAGAATATAAGACATCCAACAGAATGTTAACTTGTTGAGGGCAGGTATTATTTTGCGTTTATCTTTGCATCTTTAAGATCTAATACAGTGCTTGGCACATAATTGGAGCTTGTTGAAACAATTCAATTCAATAAATGTTTATTAAGTACCTACTATGTGCCAGGTATTTTTAAAAATAATTAATTAATTTTGATTTATCAACAATCACTTCCATAAGCTTTTGAGTTTGAAAATTTTCTCCTGCTCCCTCCCCACCACCCACCCCAAGATTGTGAGCAATCTGATATAACCTATACATATACATTCCTATTAAACATATTTTCACACTAGTGATGTTATAAGTAAGAATTAGAACCAATAGGAGGAACCACCAGAAAGAGAAAACAAAACACAACAGAATTTAAAAAAATAGCAAATAGTATGCTTCAATCTGCATTCAAACTCCATAGTTCTTTCTTTGGATGTGGATAGCATTTTCCATCATGAAGCTGTTAGAGATGCCTTAGACCCTTGTATTGCTGAGAAGGGTTAAGTCTATCAATATTAATCATCGAACAGCATGGCTCTTACTGTGTACAATGTTTTCTTGGTTCTGCTCATTTCACTCAGCATCATTCCATACAAGTCTTTTCAGGTTTTTCTGAAGTCAGCCTGCTCATCATTTCTTATAGCACAATAGTGTTCCATTACATTCATATACCACAACTTGTTCAGCCATTCCCCAATTGATGGGCATCCTCTCAATTTCCAATTCTTTGCCTATGTGCCAGGTATTGTGCTAAGTACTAGGGATACAAATAAGAAAAAGATAGTCTTTGCTCTCAAGGAGCATGTGTGTGTGTGTGTGTGTGTGTGTGTGTGTGTGTGTGTGTGTGTGTGGTTTGTCCTTCATTCTCTCTCTCTCTCTCTCTCTCTTTTTTTTTGGCTAGGCAATGGGGTTAAATGACTTACCCAGGGTCACAACTAATGTCAAGTGTCTGAAGCCAGATTTGAACTCAGAGGTCCTCCTGACTCCAGGGCTGGTGCTCTATCCACTGCAACACCTAGCTGCCCCCTGGTCCGTCATTCTCAAAGATGACCATGACATCAGCGAGATAATGACATGACTTGCAGTTGATTTTGATTTGAGAGAGGGAGGGCTGTGTAAAGTCACCAGCCTCACTTTCTCTTCCAGAGCCATCTGAGTCCAGTGGCCAGAGATTGATTTTTTTTTTTTTGCTTTTAGGCAATTGGGGTTAAGTGACTTGCCCAGGGTCACACAGCTAGTAAGTGTCAAGTGTTTGGTCTGAGGCCATATTTGAACTCAGGTCCTCCTGACTTCAGGGCCAGTTTATCCACTGCGCCACCTAGCTGCCCCTCAGAGATTGATTAAGACAACTAGAGATGGTCCAGCATGCAATGAGAGACACTGGCCCTTTTAAGCTAAGGTCTTTTCAGGTTCTTACTTTGAGTGAGGCGATGCCCATTCAGTGAATAGGCCTCTTTAAGAAATGAGTCAAGGGATGGCCCCTTTAATAATAATAAAAAAATGAATAAAGAAGGGAGAAGAGAAAGCAGAGATAACAGCACATGATTAGTTATAGAGGATTGGCCAGAGTGAAGAGTCAAGGATGATTCTGAGATTGAGAATCTGAATGGCTGAAAGTGAAGGCTAATAACTTGCCTAAAAATAAATTAGAATCAGGAAACTTAGTTTTGTGGAGCATATCTGATAAGACCTAAAGGACCTTATTATGTAAGTCATTGTTTATTACCCTGGGTCTCAGTTGCTTCTGTAGGGTGAACTAGGTGATTTTGGGTGTCCTCCTTTCAATCCTACAATGCTATTATGTTGGTGAGTACTGGTTCGGTACCCATTTATTAACAAAAAAGGGTTAAGCTACCACCAAATTTTATTTTCTTACATCAGATACATCTGGGGTAGGTAAGCCATTTCAATTTCTTAAAGCAAAACTAATAGTTAACCACTTCATGACAGACCAGAGAGCTCTCTCTATGCTGGATTTGTCAAATAGCCCAGTTAGAGTAAGGTATGCTGCTCTGCATGAAACAGTGTCATTTTTTAAAACATAGTCTACAGGAGGAAGACAACATGCAAGAGGAAGCTGGAAGGGGTGTGTGTGTGTGTGTGTGTGTGTGTGTGTGTGTGTGTGCACGCCTGGGGGAATCTTGTTGCATGGAGTTGAGACCAAGCAATGCCGCTGATGCAAATAAACTATTGGTCAGCCCAACCACAAACGACTGACACCTCTCCAGTTATCTTAAGTGTTCCCTTACTTCTTTAAATAATGTTTTGTAGTTTTTGGTGGATCAGCTCCTATATAATTAATGCATTTTGTAGTCTTCTGAATGGAATTATACTATCACTTCCTGCTAATTTTTGTTATTACTTTATTGAAATAGTGATTTTTGTAGTTTTTTTTGGTATCTTGTTTCTTTACTGAAATTATTAATCATCTCAATTTGTTTCTTTGTTGATTTTCTAGGGTTTTCTCAGCAAATTATCATGTCATCTGCAAATAGGAAAAATTTTGTCCCCCACTTCTCCCACCTTTGCCAGTTTTGATATCTTCGATTTTCCTTTCTTATTTTTATTTTTTTGGAGATAGCTACCATTTCTAGAATTTTATCAAATAGTAGGTGGGAAGAAGGGACAGCCTTCATTTACCCCCTATACTTATTGGTAGTAGGCTGAACTTTTAGATTACAGACATATAGACTATTACCAGGCCCATAACTGAGGCATTTCTACCTTGGTATGATCTGCCAGAGTTTGTTGGCATAACTTTATAAATCTAATGGCACATTATTACCAATATGAATAGTTGTAAAAGGACTTGAGTGGAGAATGAGGGGGAGGGAAACAAATATTTATTAAGTACCTACTATGTGCCAGGTGCTATGCTAAGCACTTTACAAATATTTTCTCATTTCATCATGATGATATTCAGGATAATGTATTAGTCCTTTTAAAAAAATTAACATATATAATTAAGACATTCATCTGAAGGGAACTATGTTGGCAGAATAACTTCAATGTTTAAGATCCAGAAGATATTTTTAAGAAATTGGCAAATCAATCAATATCCACTGTTACCACACACACAGTTTGGCAAGGTGTTATTCAGGTCATTTGAATTTCAATTGTAGTTGAATTTAAAATCTGATAAAGTATTACTAACTCTTTGATTCCTGACTTAGGAATAGGGTAGAAGTCAGTCATTTTAAGGAAAGATAGTAAAGAACTTGAAAAACATAGGTGAAAATTATCCTAAATGTATGAATCAAGAAAATTCAATTTTGGGGGATGATTTTATGCTTTGGTAGTATTTCAAAAAGCAATATCATCAGTACAAGCATTCTCTCCACTGAGTCAACTTCCTCACATTAGTAAATGGTTTCTTGAAAATCTCTGGTTAAAAGTGTTGTTTAGAGGTTAATGCTGTGATGCTTAACCTCTGAATCAAGTTAACCTGGTCTGTACCCATAACCTTTCCACCCTGGCAGAACTGGTTATAGCTTGAATTCTGCTGGTGCAGCCTTCAAGAACTTAGAGGTCACCTCCATTCTGCAATAAGGCACTAGAACAGAATTTAAATGGGGATTGTAATTTGTAATTGCTATTAGTTCTAATTCCATCTGAATGGAAATCACACTGTGTAGTGTCTGAATGGGTTATTTAAAACAATTTATGCTTAACAGATTGCTTCCATTCTGGGAATAATTTGGTCTTAATTGACTGCTGAAAGATCTACATAAATTCACACTTCATTTTAAAATAAGAGATAAAACCTTATCCTGGGACAATCTATTTCTAATTTTAATATCACAGAATTCTCCTTTTTACTTTTCCAGATAATTGACATAAGGGAGAGTTTATCTATCTGTTCCAGATGAATTCACTGAAAATGATAGCGTCTGTGGCCAGAGGTGGAGACAGGTACTGGCAGGAATGACAGCCTGTGCCATCTCTCGAACATGTACAGCTCTATTAGAGCATCTAAAGGTCATTAGGCAGGTGAGTGCATGGTTCATAGATGTTTGCTGCTTTTCTTTTCTTTTTTTTTTTTTGGCTAGGCAATGGGGTTAAGTGACTTGCCCAGGGTCACACAGCAAATAAGTGTCAAGTGTCTGAGACTGGATTTGAACTCAGATCCTCCTGACTCTAGGGCTGGTGCTGTATGCACTGCGCCACCTCGCTGCTCCCTGTTTGCTGCTTTTCAAAGGAATCATTTCAGATTTAGGAGCAACATTTCTGCAGGTGTGTCAGAACTACACTTCCGTAGCAGTTAAGTAGAAGACATACAGTGCCCTAAAAGCTAAAAACTTTTTAAAGAAAAAAATTTTAATTAAGGGTTGCTTTTCTAGCACCTTGTGAGTCCCCTCCTGAACTTGAGGGCATCCTAGAGTCTCTTTCCCTTATCTTGAGATACCATAAAACTTCCCCCCTATCCTGGACCATAAAACTTCCTTGTCTCCCTCATTCTGAGTCATAAAATTTCCCATCTTCCTTATCCTGAGTCCCCTATCCTGCCATCCATCTTCCTCATCCTGTGTCATGACAACCCCTCCCCTTATGTTGTAAGATGAAACAGACCCCTATGCCTCTGTAAGTTGCTAGTCCTCTTTCCAGAGCTAGCCCACTGATTTTGTGTCAATAAAGCCCCCAATGGTTACAGAGAAGGTCTAAGTGAATTCTTTCACGCCTGAACCAGCTCTCCCAACTCTAAACCTCAACAGCAGTATCTAATCAGGCCTTCAGGGGTCATGATTAGAGCAATGCAAGTTAGTCATCAGTCATCCACTGAGCCAGATCTCGAGTGTGGGAGTACAGGGCCGCTTGAGCTAAATCTCTAAAACAAGGTAGATGGACCATCCACTCCCCTCCTTTTCCAAAGGAGTTATGACCGGGCTCCATCTAGCCATGTCGGGATCTTTTCTGATGCTCTCCATCTGATCAATTGCCTTTTATACTTGCTGAAAAAAGGGATTTTCTAACAGGGACTTTGTGCAATTCTGTAGCTCAGATGATTGCCTCATCCCTCTGATGATTTGTCCCTGTAGTCCCAACATCAGAGACAGTGTAATTAGGGGTCAGAGGGCCTAAGTGGTGGACGCGGCAGGTGGTAGGGTTTCTCTTCTGAGCTCTAAGCTCAATCAGCAGTTGCTTACTGGACATTTCAAACTGAATGCCCTATTGGCATCTCAAACTCAACCTATCCACAAGTGAATTTGTTATGATTTCTCCCCAAACCCACACCTCTTCTTTTATTACTGTCAAGGATACTGTTGTCCTTCCAGTCATGTACGTTTGAAATCTTGTTGTCATGTGCAACTCAGTCTTACTCACCCCAATAAGAGAACCAATTACTAAGTCTTATTTTTTTCCCTAAAAACATTTCTTGTATACATTTCCTTCTCTCCACTACCACACTCATCCTCATTCAGACCTTCATAGCCTCTTGCCTGGTCTGTTGCAATAGCCACTTAATGGGTTTCTCTGCCTAAAGTCTTCCACTCCAATCACTATCCTCACAGCTGTTAGTGATGTTCCTAAGTAAAGATAGAGGGTCTGTCCATGCCATTCATTAACTCAATAAACTTCTAGGATCTAATATAAATGTTTCTGTCATTGAAAGCTCTTCACAACCTTGCCTCTTCCTATCTTTCTGCTTTTATTACACTTTATTTCCTTCCATGTATTTTTTGATCCAGTCATATTGGCATTCTTAATCTAATAATGTTAATCTTATAATTATAATCTTATAATATAATAATGTTAATAATGTTAGCAACTAACAGTGCTCCTTATTTTAAAAAAATCAGTGATCTGCCCTTGGTGTCAAATACTTTAGTTATCTAGGTGGTCCGTTGGATACAGCTTTGGGCCTAGAGTCAGGAAGACCTGAGTTCAAATCCAGCCTCAGACACTTACTAGCTATGTGACTTTGGGCAAGTCATTTAACTCTATTTGCCTCAGTTTATTCATCTGTAAAATGAGCTGGAGAAGGGTCATATGCAACTGAAAACAATGAAACAATAATAGCTAGTGACCTCTCTGCTGATGGGGATGCAGGGGGAGCTCAATGACCAACTAGAGTTTAAAAACACACATGCACAAAGAACATAGAAGTAAGGGCTGGTGATTGAGGATGACTACAAGGATGTATCATATAGGGGTTCTCTGGGTCCAATGGGAACTTCTTTCATCAATTGCTAAGCTTTCAGCATGAGCACTTACATCTTGGAAATCCACAAATGCTCCCCAGAAATTGGGAATTGATTTATTGTTTTGTTGATTGTCCCCAGACTTAAGAAAGTGGTGGAGAAAATGGTAATAATGCAAATTAAAGTGTTTCCTGAGTAATTTTTTTTGGGTGAAGGGGAGATGGTTGTTAAATATTTACCAACATAGCATTGTTTGTGTAAGAGTATTAACAGAGAAGCTTAAGCTCAGAATGAGCTACAGTTAGTGAAAAAAAAACCAAGAACAACAAAAAGGGCATTTTTTTCCAACTGATTCTCAGTAGGCAAAATTTTGAGTCCTCTTGGTTGCTTCCTCTAGATGTGCTTCAGTTTGGCAGTGTCCCTTCTAAAACATGGCACCCCAAACTGAACTCCATACTCCAAATGTGATCTGACTTGGGAAGATTGCAGTGAAACTATTTCTTTCTGTTGCGCTTTTAATCTTTTAGCTGGTCTCGGACTTTTTGTCTGCTACATCAAAGTACTAGGTCACATGAGTTTGACATCCGTGATGACTAACTTTATCCTGCCCTATGCCTTCAAACTAATTTCTGCCTTTGGCTAATAAGACAGAAAAGGAAAATGACAAATGTTGGAGAGGATGTGGAAAAATAGGGACACTAATGCATTGTTGGTAGAGTGTGAACTGATCCAACCATTGTGGAGAGCAATGTGGAACTGTGCCCAAAGGACTATAAAACTGTGCATACCTTTTGACTCAGCAATACTACTTCTCAGTCTGTACCCCAAATAGATCAAAGAAAAAGGAAAAGGATCTATATGTAAAAAATATTTATAGCAACATTTTTTGTGGTGTCCAAGATTTGGAAATTGATGGAAAGTGTCCATCAATTGGGAAATGGCTGAACAAGTTGTGGTATATAATTGTGATGTAATTCTATTGTGTTAAAAGAAATGACAAGCAGGATGCTTTCAGAAAAATCTGGGAATTCTTACATGAATTGATACAAAGTAAAATGAGCAGAACCAGGGAAGCATTGTACATAGTAATAGCAATATTGTACGATGATCAACTGTGAAGGACTTAGCTATTCTCAGCAATACAGTGATCCAAGACAACTCCAAAGGACTTACAGTGAAAAAATGCTATCTACTTCCAAAGAAAGAACTGATGGAATATAAATGCAGATTGAAACTTTTTTACTTTATTATTTTTTGTCTGCAATTTTTTGCAACGTGGCTAACGTGGAATTGTTTTGCGTGACTGCAAATTTATAATCTATGTCAAATTGCTTGCCTTCTTAAAGAGAGGGGAGGGGAAGGAGGAAGGGAGGGAAAGAATTTGGAACTCAAAATTTAAAAAATGAATGTTAAAATGTTTTTGTTTACATGTAATTGAGAAAAAATTAAAATTAAAAAATGTAATTTCTGTCTCCAGTAACAAAGTTTCTGACAAAGCATATCCCAAAGAAACTTCTTAACATAAGCATTGATGTATGAGTCACACTGTAGGAGGAAAGGTCTGAATGCCCTATGACGATAAGAAATTAAACTCAGCTAAAACAACTTTCACTTTATGACTCACTGCCACATTGATAGCTTCCAAGGCTATATGATTCATAGATAGATTACTTTTATCTTATTTTTTCACAGCTGTATATTTCAGTCATAACCACCCGTGGAGGAGAGTGTAATAAGATCCCTGCTGGGTTGTTAAACTTGCTGATTTCTTTTTAATGACTATTGTATTGAATTAAATGATGTTTATATTTGGTACCTTCTAATGTTTTACCCATCTTCTGGTGAAAGCTGAAAACCACAGGAATGTAAACAATGTTGAATACAGGTGTTTTAGAAATATAAATGCTTTCTAAACAATTAGAAAAAGTGTCATTTTATCAATTAATTAGTCCAATCTTTTCCTGTCTTTCTAGGCTCAAACTTTCCCGAGAGTGACAATAACTCTCAAGACTGGCTTTGAGACTATGGAAGTGAAGTTCTATGAATGTTCTTAAAATTGCACCTGAAGCATGAATTAAATACTGGTCATATGAAAAGGTACTACATTATTATTGCCTGTGGAATTTAATTAACAAAGAATACTTAAACTTTTTTTTTAATCCTTAGGACTATTCCCACAAAAACGAAAATTGTTTTTAATATAAATAATAAGAATGGCTTTGTTTTCCTCCACAGGCATTTTTATTAGTAATTATCACAGACATCTTCCTTATAACACTTCAATATGTGATAGGTGATTTTGCGGGTGGGGACACCCTTTTCACTAGTGACAATTATGATTATTCTTTTAGTTCCCTTAAGGGTTTCTTGAGAGCTGCCATGTCCAAAATATTCATCCCCTTTTGGCCAACCTCGTGATTCCAACGTCCCTTCCACACCTGGATGGTTTCAGCTTTTAACTCTTCTAACCTCAATCCCAAAGCCTATCCACATGGGATTCTTTCCTCACTGATGGAGAGCAACACCCTTTGCCTGTGAAAGAGGTTACATATCATTTGTTAAGGTGCAGAAACTGAGAATTAACCAAACGACCTTGGAACATCTGATCAGAACTCTTAAGAAGTATTTGAAAATGTACATCTTTTGGCTGTTGATTAAAAAGTTGGCATCTTCAACATGGCCATTATAATGAATGAACTAACTTCTTTTTGGCTGATGTTTTTTTTTCCTGATGGATGATGACTTGTCAGCAGAAGTTAATTTTTTTAAAAAAATTATTGTTTATAAAAGAAATTCAGTGTATCTTTGTTTGTCCCATAATGAAAGGAATAATACATTTTTGCTAATTCACTTTGGATTCAAAATGGGAGTCATGCATTAATAAATGTTTTAATAACAATAAATAAGGAAATATATATTATATCATACATAACATAATATATTATCTCAAATAATAAATGGGAGTCACAGCACTGGAAATTTCATCAGATTATCACAACTTGTAGAAATCTGATTACTACTTCCTACTTTTTGTTAAAGCCTTCACTATAAATGTCAAAGTTAATATTATCTCCTAATCAGCACTAATGTTGTATAAACATTTAATCTCATTTATAAAAAGCCACAGGTTTAAGTCTTTGCACTTCTTTGAAGTGATAAAACAAAACAATTATGTTTTTGGTGGATCAAATTTTACATTTTACTGTATCTGACTTAAGCTACTTGGAAGATCTAACTTTTGCTAAACTTGACACTGATCCTAGTTACAGAGATTAGCCTAACTGCTGAGTCAACTACTCCTCGGTTCCTGTATCATATTATTAGTTTTTGAAAATATTCACTCTTTATCTTTAGCTGTCAAGAGCATTAAATTAAAATCCCTTTCCTTATTTTAATTGACTCCAAATAGAATTCAAGTAACTTTTTCCAGGGTCTTTTCCTGAGTGTGCCAAATTAATTTTGAAAAGTCAACAAGTCAGCAAATATTTATTAAGTACCTACCATGTGCCAGGCTCTGTGCTATTCAAAGGTAAAAAATAGCCCCTGGGAACACAACACAAAATACCAACAAGCTATATACAATATAAATTGGAGAAGATCTCAGAGAGAGAGCATTGGAATTAAGAGGACTCAAGAAAGTATTCTAGTAGAAAGTAACATCTTAGGACCTGAAGGGAATCATGAGACAGATAAAATGAAAGATTGGTGTAACTTTTCTTAGCTCTAACAATTGAGAGACAAAGAGAATCTAGCAAAGTCATAGAAGAGAATGAAATGATGGCCAGTATGCTGGACTTAATGTACCCTGATTAGAGGTTGTTGAAAGTACTTCTTTAGTGAATATTTGAGGAATGGTGAAATTCTATCTGGAAAAACATTAAGGCAAGAAATCATTTTTTAAGCACAACCAGACACTGTGGTAAGCATAGGTGGGGGAAATATAGATACAAGAAAAAAAAGACAGACACTGCCCTCAAAGAGCTTACACTCTAACAAAAGGGAACTGAAAAGCAGGAGAGGTAGTGAGTATGGTGGCCTAGTGTCAAAGTCTGGAAAGTCAAAAGCAAAACTGAGAGGGGCATAACAATTGGCCTGAGCCCCTCCTAAAAATGGAGGCTTTGGGAATAACTCACCAATGGGAGCCAGGGCTCTTATGGTAGAAGGATGTTCTAGGGTGAGGAGGCCTCTGATGCTGAAATAACAAAGACACGATATCAGAATATGGAAAGTTAGAAGCAAAGCTGGGAAGGGAATGAAGGATAGCCAGGTTGGATCCTTCTTCAAGATAGAGGCCTGAGTAAAGTTATTTGTTTTCTAGGTTTTGTTTTGAATTTGGATTTTTTTGAATTTTGAATTTTGAAATTTTGAAACTTTGAAATTTGCAGTGTGATGCTAACAGAGAGCCAGAGGCTAAAGGAAGATGAACGTGTAGGTGAGTAAGACTTCTCTATGAGCATGCGAGACATTGGACATTTCTGCATGTTCATGATTATCCCCAGGAATGTGTGATAACCTGGTGCCATTTGTGAGCTGCTTATCCCAGCAGTCATGGCTTTCTATAGTCTGGCTCCACTTTACCTGTTGGACAGTGTCTCCTTCTATAGCTTGCTAAGGCTTTTAAGAGGTAGAGGTGAATAGGGAGTGCATTCTAGTTATGGGGACAGCTGCTACAAAGGTTTGGAGACAGACCATGGACTGTTGAGTCTGGGGAATTGCAAGCAGTTTTGCTGGAATGTAGGGTACATGAAGGGCAATAATTTGAAATAAGTCTTGAAAGATAGACTAGAAAGCTTTATGTACTTTGGTTGAAAAGTTTTAAGTACCAAGCAGAAAAGTTTATCTTTGATTTTAGAGACAGTAGGGAGCCCTTAAAGATTCTTGATTACAGGACAGACATGACAGACTTGTGCTTTAGGAAATTATTTTGGCAACTGTAAGGAGTCTCTACTGTAAAGGGGAGAGAATGGAAGCAGGGACCTTTATTAGAAAACTGTTGTATGGTTGCTGCCCTTCGTTCTCAAAAACGATCAAAATGACATCACTATGTTGGAATCAAGGTACAATGTGTCTGATGAAATCAAAATGGGCTCAGAAGGTTCTACCACAGGTTGGGCACAAACAGTCCACATGAACCTTTGGAGTTGAGGTGTCTAAATTTTCACATCTCTCGTTTTTTTTGAGCTACTAAAATTCTGCTTTGCAAGAGACTAGTCCAGGCAAGAAGTGATGAAGGACTAATTCAGGATTGTGGTAGTCTGAGTGAAGATGAGGGAATATATTTGAGAGATGGAGTGGAGGTAAAATTGATAAGATTTGTCAGTTGATTAGAGATGAATGGTGAAGGAGAGTAAACAGTTAAAGATGACTTCAAGATGAGAATGTGGGTGATAGGAGAATGATGATTCCCTCAACAGAAACAAAGAATCTCAGAGAAGGAGCAGCTTTGTGGAGGGGAGTTCATGGGGTCTATTTGGGACATATTGAGTTTGATATGCTTATTGGACACTCAGGTAGAGATTCCCAACAGGTAGCTAGTGATGCAAGACTGGAGTTTGAGAGAGAGAAAAGGGCTAGATATATAAATGTGGGAGCTTAGAGGAGCTTAGAGATGATAATTGAATTTATGGAAGCTGATGAAATCATAGAGAAGGTGTAGAGCCAGAAGAGAAAAGGGCAAAAGGAGAGCCTTGTGGAATACCCATGGTAAGGTGATGGATACTTGTTGAAATGAAGGATGTTCAAATCAGGTTCATTTTTTAAAAAATTAGAGAAAATGTTTTCACCCTAATTCATAACTGTTTTAATGAATGTTTTACTTTTTTTTTTTTAGCTGTTTGGCAACTACGAACACAATGACCTAATTGTCATTAGCAACACTTTTTGTTGTTATTAATGGGAGTGGCTTGGACCTGTGATTTCACTTGTGTAGGGGCTTCTCAGTGAGAGCTTTGTCAGAGCATATTGACAACTGTTTTACCACTTAGGATCTTGGAAAGTTGACTGAGGCACTGAGAGGTTAAGTGAACTGTGCCAGAGAGGGTCTCACATGTGTCAGAAGTTGAATCTGGGTTGTTCTGACTCCGAGGCCAACCACCCTGCTTCTCAGCAACAGCATTACTGTCAGGTAATAATTTCAGAACCCTTGATATGTGTAGCAGACCAATAGCCTCCTCAGCTTTAATTTATCATTTCTTATAGGCAGCTAAGTGATGCCCTAGCTAGAGGGCTGATCTTGGAGTTTTGAAGACCTGAGTTCATATCTTGCACTAGAAACTTAGCTGGGTAGCCCCAGGCAAGGTATTTAGTGTGTGTGAGACTCTGTTTCTTCATCTGTAAAATGAGGGTGTTGAACTCAATGGTTTGTAAGATCCTTTCGAGGGGTAACATTATAATCCGATGACCATCCTATCACACAATATTTATTTGCAATTTTTGGTAGTGGTACAAAGGTACAAGGTTCAAACCCTATCTTGGGGCACATATGCTTCATTACGGACATGGTGATGCAGAAGGAAATAACTACAGAATGTTCAGAATTGGATAAGATTTCGGACACTAACCTCATGCAACCCCCTACCTGACCTGACCTGATTGACAATGTACCCATCAAGGGATTGTCGAGATTTTGCTTGAACAGCATGTGAGTCCATGCACTCAACATATTTTATTGGATACCCCTTCTCCTGCTAGATGTGGAAAGGAGATCTAAAGGAGGTCCTTTGCTTAATATCCTAATGCATCATGCTTACAAGCATTCAAACCATATACATTCTGCTAGGTGGATGGAACTGTTAAACAAGATGTGGTTTCAAAAACCATACCTCCAATGACTGCTGTAAATCTCTTCCTTCTGTATTTTGTGCATTTGAATACCTTTATTAACACAGTATAAAAACTTGCTTGCTGCTGAGAGGACCACTATGGGAATTACAGAGAGATTTATTTCTGGATCTTTGGCTGGAATCACTGCACAGACCTTGGTCTACCCTTTGGAGGTAAGTGTCCCTATGAAACAGCCGGCAAGCCTACACTTTTAATGCTGATTATAGGTTGTATTTCTTTCACATGAGCCCTAGGTTGGGTCTTAGTATAAACTGGGCATTAGAGCTATAGAATTTGAAACTCCTGTCATTAGGTGCCACTAACCTAAGTAAAGCTAATTTTCCTTTAGGACAAACATAATATTACAGCTAAGAATATTTCATCTAAGTTGGTATTTCTGTGAATAGAAGAAGGCACTTTCCATTGGTTGCTGTGCCTAAGAGGTTTAATAACAATAGCTGACAATTATATAGGACTTCACAAATTATTCTCACAAAAGGCTCCATGAGGTAGGAAGTGCAGATATTATTTCTTCCATTTTAAAGATGAACAAACAGTCTCATACAGGTTAAGTGACTTGCATGACTTGTTAAATTTCTGGTAAGTTTCAGAGCTTGGTATTCAGTCCTGTTCTTCTGCCCCTGAAAAAAAAATGATTATAAATAACCAGTGATTTGGGGAGATTCAGATTTCCCCCTTTTTCTTTTATCCTCATTTCAAAACCTCCTAACCTCCTCCTCTATCCAGACCCCACCCACGTGGGGCAGCCATTGTGGTCTGTTCAGGTGTGGGTGGGGATAAATTCTTTGAATAATTGCCCAACGGCTGGGGGTAACTTAAGAAGTAAATGACATAATCAAAATTCTGGTCCAGCCCCTCATTGTAATATTCATCCTCTTGCATTCATTGTTAACCAACCAGAGTTGATTGCTGCCCTTAGGAACACCCCTCTTCCATTGGACATATAAGCATAAGCGAGCCTACTGCCATGATTGTCTTTGGTCTAAGAGAGAGATGGCCAAATGACTATCCTTTTATGAAAATGCTGGCATTATTAATAAAATGGTTAAATTACCCAGAAATTATGTCTCTTGATCCTTTTCAAATGCCATACCCCAACCTCGGAGATGCATTGCTTTCCCATTTCCCTCACTCCCTCTACTTTGCTAGATTATAAACTCCATGAGGCAGGGACTATAACTTATCTAATAATAGCTAGCATTTATATGGTGCTTTAAGGTTTGTAATATACTTTACATATCATAACAACTCTGAGAAGAAAGTGCTATTATTATAACTTCCCATTTTACAGATGAGGAAACCAAGGGACAGAGAGGTTAAGTGACTTGCCAAGGTCACACAGCTAGTAAATGTTTGAGCCAGGATTTGCCCTTGAGTCTTCATGAATCCAAGTCCAGCATTCTTTGCACTGCCTTATCTGAACTTTGTTTACCCCAGTGCCAAGCACATAGTGTTCAATAAATGTTGAGATTTGTTGAATTTCCACCACATCAAACTGCCTCTCTATAGAAAATCTTCATTTATATGCACATTTTAGGGTCACTCACATGAACACAATTAAGAATTATAGTGATTCGGGGACCTAGTTCTCCAGACATATAAACAGATCTCCTTTTGAGGTCAGTAGAACTTTAAACAGGCAAGGAACAGATACTTGTCAGGAGAATTAAATGTATTAGGAGACAAACAAGTTAGACCTGAACAGTAGGTGGATTTAGCAATTTAAAAGTCTCTATTTCTATGGTCGACTGGATCCTAGTACTGTCTCTATGACCCTTGCATTGAACTTTCTATAATAAATGTGATTTTACACTTTGATTTTGTGTTTCTTGGATGGGATACAAAATGGGCCCACCTTATTCTAAATTTAGTGTTAGAGCAAGATTCCAGTATATTTACTTTAAATGTTTTTGAAATATTTTTTTCTTCTTTGGTGTTTCTACATTCTGCACTTTGCTAGCTGTAGTTAATGTATAAGTTGGATTCTTTTACTTCAAGTTTGTTTATGTTCACTTGATAGTTATGTATTAAGTTTCTCTTAAGGTCTACAAAATGATTTGTTGTTTCTGTTATAGTTTATAAGTGTGAATAAATAGCCAGAATTTGCTTTAAGGTATTGCATAGGGAGGGCAGTTGGGTTAGATGTGTCATGCAAACCCAAGATGCCTTCCCCCCAACCCCCTTACTTATTAATTCCACCTCAACCTCCAAACTTTACTGGAAATAGTGGCAAAAAAGACACCAGAAGTTGATCAATGAAAATTCAATGAAAATGCAGTTCCATTTTAAATGGTTATATATGAGATTTGTATAAATTTGCAAGATAATGTAGTTGTGACACAATTCTGGTTTGGGTAAGTCTGATCAATTGAATTTCATTAATCCAGGTTTTAAAGACCAGGTTGGCTTTAGATTCAACTTCAAGATACACAAGAATATCTAATTGTGTCCAGAAGATGTTGAAGTATGAAGGATACAAAACCTTTTACAAAGGTTATGTTCCTAACTTACCGGGCATCATACCTTATGCAGGTGTAGACCTAGCTATGTTTGAGGTGAGTTCATTCCCAAATTGAATTAACAACCAATCTGTTGCAATGGAAAATGTGGTCTATAAACTCCTCATTAGTAGAATCTGATCTTATATTACTTATAATACTTATATTACTAAAGTAATGGCAAATATTTTCTGACTAAATAGTGAATTGAATTATGATACTATGTGGCTTTTTTTTTTGCATTGTTATTGGTCTATTTGTCCTGGGGCTGCTTGGTTCTGGGATTCCTTGAGAATTATTGTTTAGTCATTTCAGTCGTGTCCAACTCTTCATGATCCCATTTGGGGTTTTCTTGGCAAAAATACTGGAATGGTTTGCCATTTCCTTCTCCAGTTCATTTTACAGATGAGGAAACTAAGGTAAACAGGGTTAAATGACTTGCTCAGAATCACATAGCTACTAAGCGTCTGAGGCCAGATTTGAATTCATGAAGATGAGTCTTCCTGACTCTTGGCGTGGCACTTTATGTACTGTGCCACCTAACTGCCCTCCTTGAGAATTACTTGATGGTAATTGAAATATTAGACCCCAGTTCAGGTATGATCAGCATAGTCCTGGAAATAATGAAGAGGAAGGCAAAGGGGCTTCCTTTAGAAACATAAACAGTAATAGCTGGTTAGTACATGGTACTGATTAGGTCAAGACCCAATTCAATCCCCAAATGTGCCAACTAGCTACATTTTGGCCACTCTGCATTGTTAAAGCCAGCAGGCCATCTTGAAAGCAAGTGCTTCTGATTTCATAGAGTATGATCAAATCAGCACACACCCATTCCTACTATTAGAAAACCAAAGAATATGCTTTGCCATACTATTTCCATATTAGAAAGATAACATATTACTCTTATGGGTTTATGGAAAACATTATATTTTACAGAATTTTAAAGTATTCACTATTTTCTGGGTGAATGTATTTATTTTGCTTTTTGCCTCCATTATTCTGCTTTCATTCATGTAAATGAATTATCACCATTGGTACTGGGTTGGGCCACTTTGAGACTTTTGTTTTTGTAACTGAAAACATTTTGCCTTTAGACATGGTGTTTATAAGCCCTAACAGCTCTCTTTATTTTTGTGCTGTGGTGATACTTGGACATTGAAGAAAGACATCGCTGAAATTTATTATTCCACTTAAAATTGTATGTTTCACCTGAGGATACAAGAACAAAGTTAAAATCTCTTCAATAAAATATAAGGAAAAAAAGAAAGTTGTCAGTGATATAAACTTTTTGGTTTTTTTTACATTAAAATTTATTTCTAAACTTAGTATTTCAAAGTGGTTTCTGGGAGATCTGATTTGAAAAGATTAGTCTTTTCAGGAAATTGAGGTTTTGTGGTCCAGGCCTAATAGTGAGGGTACTCTGTTTATGATGCTCTGTGATTTGTAATTGCATGTAGATATACTACCTGACCAATCTTAATGCTAGGATAGTGTAAAGGGAGAAGAGCAAAGTTGATAGTAATTTGGACCAGTAGACATCTGTGTTTTATTGACTTTACATTGTATTTTAAAACGTATAGGCAGACCATACAAAATGCAAATGTTAGATGCCTTTGGCTTCTCTTTCTTTGTAGATGAGTCATATTCTGTTCAAATTGTAGTTTTAAGGAATAGCTCCATATATATTCTTTGAACAGATCTAAAGGGGCAGTCAAAAGAGTGTGGATTGCTGTGGTGAGGTCTATATTTGGCTGAAAGAAGGTGTTGTATAATTGATTTATAACTTTCATCCTACCTAAACTTATATAATAGTTAATGCACATTTACCACTCTGTTCCTGGACAGCTGTTGAAGAATTTTTGGTTGCAGCATCGTTCAAGAGACTCTGTAAACCCTGGGATGGTAGTAGTACTGGCATGTAGTACCTTGTCTGGTACTTGTGGTCAGCTAGCCAGCTACCTTTTCACTCTAGTGAGAGCCCACATGCAGGCTGAAGGTGAGTTTTGGCTCAGTGACCCTTTCATATCTTATTATTTGTATAGTCCAAGTAAGTACCTTCTCTCTCATTCCAATAGGTTCCCAGAAAGCTATGTCAAGTTTAAGGGACACTTTAGGTCAGCACCCATTCAAAACCATACCTCAGTAATGTTTCTTTTACCATACCAACCAAATACATTAGTTCAAAGCAAAAGACATTTAAGTTAAACAATATGGTACAAGAGACAGGTGACATTTCTTTTCATACATGTACATGTGATGTTTAAGAAGATCGAGAGATGTGGTTTCTGGGTGATTAATAATTTTATTAATAATGCTAGCGTATTACAGATACAATGGGTCAGTGACACTCTCAGATGCCAAAGATGAGTTACGGTGGTGGGCTCACAATTTATATACCCTTGGAAGAGTGGGTGTTCCTGAGGGTGGCAGTCAACTCTGATTGGTTAACAATTAATGAGAGAGAATGAATATTAGAATGAGAGGTGGACCTATTCTAATGAGGGGCTGGCAGGATTTACCTTTAATTATGTCATTTACTTCTAAATTGGCCAGCCTTGGGCAATCTAATCAAAGATTTTTTTCTACCCATACCTGTGTAGAGCACAATGGACTTCCTCACCTGGGTGGGGTTTGAACAAGATTGAAGAGAAAATTAATTCAATTGTATTATCAGCAATGTCCTTCAGAGACTGAACAACCTACAGGCTTCTGAAAAAACCCTGGTCCTAATTCAATAATTGATTATTAACAAGAGAGAGAAATAATAATTTCTCTCATAGGGGTACACTCTCCCATAGATTCCCACACCACTGGGGGGAGAGGAACATGGGAAGCCAAGGAACACACGTGGCAGAGGGCACTTGTGCAGGGAATACACACAGCCAGGGCAATTTATACTGCAAGGGCTAGATTCCTCCGCCCCTTACACGACCACTTGTCGCTTTCCTACAGAGCCATTGATGTTGCTCTGGAGATGCTATTAAGTCGGTTGTGTTCCCTACTGGGCTATGCTGTCTGCTGTATCGCCACCTGCTGGTCGTCTGTTTTGTTGCTGTCTTCTGGTTGGCTTTCTTTGGGTCCTCTCCTGCATTCTTGAGGGGCAAGTTGCCGTATCACCTCTCCACAACAGGGAGGGGGTGTCAGCTCTCTTTAGCCATAGCTTCAGAGGTCGTTTCGGCAGTTTTTGTGGGTCAGAGGCAGCTACTCAGTCAAAGCCAGCCGATTGCCTCTGTTTCTAGCTAATCCACCCGATCTAGGAACTCAGTCTTCTCTTGGGGCTGTGGTGTGAAATTTCTTTTCAATAATTAATCATGCCATCAGTCCTGGTGACTTTTGGTTCTGCATTCCTGTTGCTGTTCTCCCCACAGCTGAATCCTCTATATCTGCTTTAATTCATACAGGCCCCTTTGAGAAGACTGAGATGAGGTGTTACCCTGCAGGATTTTAGCAAAGATGCCATTTACTTTAAACACCATTGTCAAACGGAAGGAAGGAAAGGAGAGGGAGAAGGGAAGAAGCATTTCCCAAGTGTCTGCCATGTTCCAGGCACTGTGCTAAGCAATTTACAAATATTACCTCATTTGATCCTCGAAACAGCTTTGTGAAGTGCTATTGTGAGCCTCATTTTACAGTTAAGGAAAATGTAGACAGAGGTGACTGCATCACACAGCTAGTAAATGTCTGAGTCTGGATTTAAACTTAGGCCTTCCTGATTCCAGGCTCAATGCTGTATCCACTATATCACCTACCTACCTTCCTCAAAAAAATATTTAGCACTTGTTTCTTTTCCCCATTTTGTCACAGATAACTAAGTTAAAGTCTACTTTTCTGTTCTGGCTAGGTGGTGGGAAGGACAGATAATAAGTGAGGAATTCATTTTGTGTACTTTGATTAAAATGATAACCACTTTGGAATGACGTATGAAAACATCCTTGTAAAAGGTCAAGATTTACTGACTTAAATGCTGAAATGTCACCTTATGAGTCATGTTCCTCTCTGTCTGTGATCGACTTTGGTGTGACCAGTTTGGTCCGTGATTCAGTATTAGATATAGGTCTCTTACCTTGGTATAATGGGTAAAGCACTAGACCTGGAATCAGAAATGCCTGGGTTCAATTCCCAATTCTTATTAATTTTATAACCTTGGCAAGTTGCTTAACCTTACTTCATCTGTAAAAGGAGGGTAATAGCATCTACCTCACACAGTTGTTGTGAGGATGAAATGCGATAATGTATGTAAAGAACTTTGCAAAAAAAAAAGAGTACTATCTAAATGCTAGCTATCATTGTTATCATAGTTTAGAATATTTCAGGATTTTAGAATTAGGGAAAGGTATTTTTTTCAGTTTGATACAAGTTTTAGTGAAGGCTTGTATTTTATTTGTTTTCTAAGTACAGAGTGCTTGGAGACCCATTATATCAGGAATTTTAGGTCTTCTTGGAAGTTGATTCTAGTTATCTGCTAGGAATTTGATGACTACCTATAAGGGGAGCTATGCTAGAAGAACCAAGTACTATATGACAGGACTCTGGGATATCATGTGGCACTCCTTACATTTTGACTCCTCATCCCAGACGGCCAAGGAGGAATTCCCATTTTCCTGTATAGGTAGGCCCAGCTTGACTCTCTTGAGTCATTATGGAAATGATAATGCTGGTCTCAGTATGGTTTTTGGCAGGGACATCCTAGTATATGTCAACCTGATTATAGCCAGGTGTGACAGCTGTCAACCTGAAAGTTGGTTAAAGAGGCAACAAGCTAATAGGTAAATTCATATTGTTTATTCCCTTAAGTTAGCGACATGTACATGGAGCCAGAGCTTTAGCTCTGACTGAATCAAGCAATTTTAGGAGGACATTTAAACCCTGACTCAGAATGTCTGTGTTACTCAGATTTATGGTCTCCATATATGTTTAACCATAGCACGAGAAAGGAATTTTCTTAATTGAATAGGTTGTAAATACAATGAGATAGGAGAGTGTTCAAGTGTCACTTGAAATTGTAAATCAAGGATATCTGTGTTTCTTTTACCATTAACATGACATAGCATAGTATATGTCCACAAAATACCAAGATAAGAAAAGTTCCATTCATCAAGGTAGTGTCCAGGTTAAGGTGCCTTAGTGGTCATGAACAGAAGAATGCTGGTCATCTTCATCTGGTCTTGTAGTTGCTGACACAGGAAGTGGCATTTTGGGTTCACTCAGAGAACAAAGAAAAGCATGTCTATTATGTTGGGGTGCATCTTGTGGTTGATTAGTTCAGGCTCTGGCCCTTATTGGGCCTCAAATGATCTTAAATGATTATCTCAGCACAAGCCTGTAGTGCTGCTACTGGGGAGGCTGAGGCTGGTGGATCATTCAGGTTCAGGAGTTCTGAGCTGCAGCAGGTCTAACATGAATTCCAGCATCAATGTACTGGGCTGAGCCCTGGGTAACAGAGGACCACCAAGTCAACTAAGAAAGGGCGAACCAGCTCAGACTGGAAATGGAGCAGGTCAAAGCTTCAGTGCCAATCAGCAATGGGGCTGGTCAATCAATGGCACCTGCATTTCCCACCTGAGTGAGATAGGGACACCCATTTTCAAATAAATAAATGGAGGGTTAGGTGAGGGAGGGAGCTAGCTCTTTGTGGTGCTTGGAGGACTGGGAAGGCAGAAAATTTTCAATAAGTATACTTAGAAATCATTAGAATTATAATTCTGTAATTAAAAGGTTATCAAAAATGTTATCACTATCTAGTAAACTTTGTCTTCATGAATGACTTAATTGTGAGTGGGACTCTTTTTAAGGGCAAAGGAGTAGTAAATGCTGCCTTGAAGTCTAATGAAAGAGTTTTATCCCAGATTTGCTTGCTGAATTCTAGTACTGTGTTCTATTTCATCATATGGATTTGCTTAGCCAATGGAGAAGGAACAAACTTGAATTATAATATTAGGCTAAATTATTTTTTCTTGTTCTTCATTTTCTAGAAACATTGGGAGGAATTCCACCCACGAAGATGATCAGTCTCATTAAAATAATAATTGTTACAGAAGGAGGGATAGGATTCCACTAGGGCATCATACCAAACTTGGTGAAGGTGCTTCCAGCAGTCTGCATAAGCTGTGTCATTTATGAAAAAACAAAGAGGGTGCTGGGAGTAGCTGAAGTGTGAAATGTTGAACTGCTGTTATTAGCATAGAATGCTAATAGAAGAATGACAGTTTTTGATCGATTTTTTCCCTCTTAAAATTGTAACAGCCTTTGTGAACAGATCTTATATCTTTATCCCTCAAGGAAGGAATGTATCAGCTAGCATTTATAACATTTTATCTTAATTTTATATGTGACAGAATCTAAGGTAAAATCCTTAAAAATATAGAATTCTATTTCTCTTCCTTCTGACTCTCCTTTGAAGAGACTTGCCCTAGAATGGATTGAAAAATATTTTAGGTGACATTTATATTTATAAAGTAGAGCTGTAAAATGTTTGGTCATTCATATCAATTTGTGTTGAGCCTTTTGTACTTAAATAACTTTTAAACCTTAATTTTAAAAATGTTTTATGCATTTTGAATGTATTTTAAAACTACCAAGAGAAATCAGTGCATTTAAAATTATATTCAACAGCAAAACAAAATATATTTTGTGTTTTTGTTCTTAAAAAATGAAGTAGGATGTTCCAGGAGAATGTTTTTGGAGAATAATATAGTGTGATGACAATAAGTCTTTTAATTAGCTGCTGAACTGGAACTTCATGGATATAGTAAATCTCCACCCATCAGGCCTTTTCAAGTGAGAAAATATTTGTAAAGCACACAGCACACAGTGCCTGGTACATAGTAGGTACTTAATAAATGCTTATTTCCTTCCCTTCCTCCCTTTCCTTGGTTCTAGAAAGCCACTTGGGACTACTCTTGGAAATCTTACATTTCTGAACCTCAATCTTATAAAAAGTGAGCACTGTCTTCATTTGCTCTGCTGACTGGAGCTTTTTTCATGCTTAGTGCCCATAACTGGAAATCCCAGTTCAAGGGATAGGAGAGAGGGAACTGAGCTAAGTAGATGAAGATCAGATATACAGATCTCAGGCTAACTCTGTGGCATGTCATCATTACTTAGATTACCTTTTTTAAAAATTAAATTTTATTTATATCCTTTGTTTAAACATCACCTAGATTTCCTATGTTTCTCCTCGTTCTACTTCTTCCCATAGAGCCATCTCTTGTTTCAAAAAATAAGAAAGAGAGAAAAAGAATCCAGCAAAATTAATTAACATATTAAAAAAAATTGGGGCATTAAGGGCAGTGTTCCACCCTCACTGTTCCTCACTTGAACAAAGAATCTGTAGGAAGTGTCTTCTCTTATCTCTTCTTTGGGGCCATGCTTGGTAATTAATTTTTTTTAAACATCCAGCTTCAATTCTTTCTTATTATTCTTTCCATTTATATTTCTGTCATCATTGCGTACATTAATTCACAGGAGCCTTCTCATGTTTCTCTGTATTTACAATTTCTTTCAGCACAGTAATATTCCATTACATTCTTATCTCATAATTTGGCCATTCCACAACTGATGGGGATCTACTTTGTGTCTAGTTCCATATCACTACCAAAAGCACTGCTGGTGCTGCCCTTGATTCCTATACATTCCTCTCCTGTGGCTGTGAAATAAATGATCTGAGCTCTTCTTGAATGCAATAGAATATATCTACTGGCCTACTGGACTGTTAGGCCTCTAATCACTTATGGCCTCATACCTTCCAAAGAATAAGGAAGACCCAACCCATGGACTTAAAGAGTAACACACTCCTTTTATCTAATTTTTCTTATTTGCCATAGGTTCCCAATTTTAGGGTGACCTGTGTGCCTCATCCTACAATACTGTTCTTTTTTTTTTTTTAATAGCCCTGTTATCTGATCAAAAAGTGGCTGCCAGACCATTTAAATTGTTTTTCAATTTATTTCTATGATGTCCACAATCATACCATTCAAATTAAGTACATGTATAACACAGAACCTCCAATAGTATTCACTATTTAAAGACAAATTATTGACTTTTTTACCCCTTGGAAGCTTTTCCCTTCAAAGCTTTCTCTCACTTCAAAATAAAGATGGCATACAGATTCTAACAGCCCTTTTGGGGATAGTATATAGTATTTTTTCTTGTTAAATCACAAAAATTATCTCAACTGAAATTAGAAGGGGTTTAATTTTCCTAGTGAGAGGATCAGAAAGCTAACTAATGATTAGTGTTGGAATTAATGGAGGAGGTAAAGAATAGGAGGGAAGCACTAGACAGCAGGAATGACATGCCTGTGGTGTGTGGGGCTATGGATTAAGTTTGGGGGTTGAAGGAGAATATGGTGAGTAAATCCTAAGCTGAGCATAGGAGTGAATGTATAAGAAACTGGGTATTTGTGTGAGACGTACATATGTGTACATGTATAAGTCTATATTTGGAAGGGGCTTCTGAAGAGGGAAAGAAATGGGGACAGGGTAAGATCCTCTTCTTTCCCTGAGAATTTCTGGGATTGGTGGAGAGTAGAAGTATATTGAGGATGTGTCTGTCCCATGTCCTGTGTGTTCCAGAAGCTGGAAACATAAGGAGAGTGTCATGTTCACACACTCCCAGGAAGTGAGTAAGTCTCCTGTGAACAGGTAAGGGCCCAGTGAATGGGCTTGCATGATCAGGGGACACCACCTCTTCCCCTTATGATTTCTTTAACACCAACCCACCAAGAAGTATCTTGCTTTAGTCAAGAGGAGAGAGGAGGAAGGGAGAAAGAGAAGGAAGCCTGTCTTGGTGTTAGATTCAGATCCATTTTAGATTCAGGCCAATAGAATAAAAACTCTTTGAGGGCAGGAATTGCTTGAATTTTTTTTTAATCCACAATGTCTAGCACAGTGCCTGGAACACAGTAGCTGCTTAATAAATGCTTGTGTATTAATAACTAGTATTTAAAGCTATTTGTAACCTGACCCCAACCTATATTTCTGGCCTGATTATACATTATTCCCCTTCATGCACTCTACAATCCAGGCCAAACTAGTTTTTTTGCCCTTATATAATAGTTCTGCTATTATATAATATATCATAGTTATTATATATAACTCATATAATTATATATAAGTTATTCTGTATGTTATTATATATAACTCTGTATAATAGTTCTGCTGATGGAGGGGTTGTGGTGGGGGAAGAGGGAGAAAGAGAAATCCTTTCCTCTCCACTGTTTCTATTGTTATTCATCCTTCCTTTTTCCAAAAAGGACCAATGACATCATGGGGTTATGTCTTGACATGCACGTGAATTGGATTTAAGTGAGGCAGAGTTGCACCTATCTTCTCTACAGAATGCTGTCTTCTTGCACTAACTCAAACTCCCCCAGGCTAAACTACTTGAAATCCCTAGAGGTGTGGATCATTTTCAACCCAGTCCACCTAATTCATTCATAGAGAAAGGTTCACATTTATTAACTACATTATCCCTCTGTTATTTATGTTTTGCTTCAGGGGTAGACAGAGCAGTTGAGAACCAAATCCTCCCTCCCTTACAGAAGGACTTTATCCCTACTAAATTTGGTCTTATGAGGTTTTTGTCCTTTGTCCTAGCTTATCAATATCTTTTTGAATCTATTGTTAGCGATCCCTCTGAATTGTGGCATCTACAAATCTGACACACATGCCATCTTGTGCCTTCCTTCTAATCGTTGATAAGAATGTTGAATAGCACAGGTCAAAGGGCAGATCCTCAGAACCCACTTCGAAAGATCTTTTCCAGTTAACAGCTATGCTGATTGCTAGCAATTAGTTTCCCCTTTTAACCTCAGAGCCCTTATAATATATTCCAAACATATATATGTATATGGGGAGGTGACTGTCTTGGCATTCCCTCCATATTCCCACAGTGTTTGGGGCCAAAGAGAGCTTCATTTGTTGGAGAGGATTCTCTTTAGTTAGTGGCCTATGATTCCCAGAGGTCTTAGTGTAGCCTCTGCAGTATGTAATACCACCCAGCCTGTTCTCTACTTGCATACTCACACTTCTACTTTCAAGGGCTGTAGAAGGTTTGTGAAGCAGGCTGGCAAAGAGGAACAGGGGAGATGACAAAAAATGGCAGCCACATCTAGGCCATGCTGAGGCTACTATTGTGGCTGAAGCCACCAGAACACCAAGAGAGACCAATATATCTGAGACTACTATGCTAAGAAGGGCAGCTGCACAATGCATAGAGCACTGGACTGGGAACTGGGAAGACTCAACTTCCTGAGTTCAAATCTGACCTCATGAACTTACTAGCTATTCGAACCCCAGGCAAGTAGCTTTTAACCCTGTTTGCCTCAGTTTCCTCAACTGTAAAATGAGCTGGAGAAGGAAATGGCAAACCACTCCCGTATCTTTGCCAAGAATCCCAGGTGGGGTCAAGGAGAGTGGGGCAGGATTGAAACAACTGAACAGCAAGCATTATGCCAAGAGGAGTCAAGGAACCTTGAACTACAGTGGGGAGGGAAGTCAGTGCCTGTGAGACTGTTGATGTGCCATGAAAAGTTGGCAGTAAACTCTTTAGGTGCCATGCCAAGAGCCAGTGCTCCTACGACTTCTATGGCTGCTTTTCCCATGGGTTTCTCAATAAGCAGGTTGGTCCACTTGAGAACACACCTGATATGTGACTGCTGACTCAAAACAGAGATAGCCTTTCCTTTAGTTTTAGGCAGGCTTTTTTTCTTTTTCGGCAATTGGGGTTAAGTGACTTGCCCAGGGTCACACAGCTAGTGTCAAGTGTTTGGTCTGAGGCTGGATTTGAACTCAGGTCCTCCTTACTTCAGGGCCGGTGCTCTATCCACTGCACCACCTAGCTGCCTCAGGAAGCCTTCTTGATATGGACATATTGTTTAGAAATGTAGACTGTCTCTATGTGGGCAAGGTGCTGGTGATTGAGGCAGAGGGCTCAGTCTGCTCTTCTGTAGTACTCACAGTTTTAAAGGCATCTATCTCTGTTCCCTATAGATATATCTCTCCCAGCCCCCTGATAAGATTAATTCAATATGTCTTAGTGTATATAAGCCTCCTACAGATTTACACTACTTCCTACAGCTGTTCAGAACAAGTATGATATTTTTCTTAGCATCATGTTCTCAAAGTATCCATCAGCTGCTCTAACTATTCTGGGAGACAATGCCAAGATTATTAAAAGTTCTGTCAAAGCTTTATTAACAGGATATCTGGAATGGGAAGACTGTTTTCCCAAAGATTCCTCTGATATAATTGCTTAATCTAAAGAGGAAAACACCTGGCTAAACTCATTATTCTTATAATATTCAATAGCAACTCTTAGAAGACTGTAGGACAAGTGTATATACATTTTTAACCAAGAAACCAGCATCAGGGAAAAATTTAAAATCAGCCCTTTGTTGGCTATATTTACCCTAGACAGAGATGGATGTCCCAGACTTGGTTGAAACTATTTCCTTCCTCCTCCTTTCCCTCCCCCTCCTGCCACCTCATCTACCTATCTTGACCCTCAGAATCACTGTGTCACACTACACATAATAGTAAGAATAGAGTTATGCGGATGAGGCAGTTAAGGTGGGATTGGAGATCTTACCAATTCTTTTAAGTAAATTTTGTCACAGGACCTAAATTCTGGTGTTATAGAGATAGGGTTCAATCTGAGAGACTTCTCACAAATTATACTGACTCATTTCTGTGCAGAGTTTTCCCTGGCAACCTCAGAATTTGTCTCACTTTTTTCTGTCTCAGGGTCTCCTCTGAGAATACCATATAGATTGTGTCTAGGTTTCTACAAGGGG